GACCTCTTTCTGTCTGCCTGTGAAGATCCTGTTCTTTTTTTTTTTTTTTTTTAAGATTTTATTTATTTGCGAGAGAGAGAATGAGAGACAGCATGAGAGGGAGGAGGGTCAGAGGGAGAAGCAGACTCCCCGCCGAGCAGGGAGCCCGATGCGGGACTCGATCCCGGGACTCCAGGATCATGACCTGAGCTGAAGGCAGTTGCTTAACAACTGAGCCACCCAGGCGCCCGAAGATCCTGTTCTTTATACTGTACCAGACTCCTTCTCTAAGGAGCCAGAGGCCAGGCTGTATACGGATGCAGCTCTATACCAGGCCCTGATGGCTTGCTTGCACCTGCTGCCAAAGGCCCCATCACCAAGTCTCCTGGAAGGAAGGCCCTGCCCATGGGTGCTCATCTTCTTGTCTCCTCCTCCCAGATCCTTTTCTTAAACTCATGTTGGTTTTTTCAACGAACATTTAACGATCTACTCTGTGCTTGGTGCTGCAGACACAGGAGTAAGCAAAACCAGCCAGTCCCTGCCTGTTATGGAGCACAGAGACTAAGTGAACAAGTAAATAAGGGCACAATTACAAACAGGGGTGTTCCTATAAGGGAAAAGGACATCATGTGGTGAAAGGGTCTACCTGGGAATCTGGCCTGGCCTCGGGGGTCACATGGCTTCCTTTTGGGTGTGGTAGGTGAAGGACATGTGGGTATTTGATAAGCAAAGGAGTGCAGGGGATGGAGGTATAGGGTTCAGGCAAAAGGGTAGGTGGGAAGGCCTTACAGAAGAAAGCAGCATGGATCGCTGGAAGTTGTGGAGGGTGAGCGGGGAGTGAGGAGACCGGGCTGCAGAGTTTGGGAGGGCCAGGCCATGCACGGCCCCAACAACCAGAAGGGTTCTGGCTTCATCTGAGGAGCAGTAAGAAGCCACTGAAGGATTTGGTCACATTTGTGGTTTCTAAAGGTGACTTTAGCTGCTTTGTGGGGAACAAAACTGGAGAAGGGCAAGGACAGATGCAAGATACATATCGACCGAGCCATTGAATTAGAGCACTCAGCATTTTGCAGTCAGCCTAGCATTATCATTACTGGATGCTAAACCACCGGGTGAAAGTTCATTGGAAAAAGAGGATATTTAAATACTCTAAAAGTACCTTTCCCAAAGATGACTATTATTTTTTTTAAAGATTTTATTTATTTGACAGAGAGAGACACAGCGAGAGAGGGAACACAAGCAGGGGGAGAGGCAGAGGGAGAAGCAGGCTCCCCGCTGAGCAGGGAGCCCGATATGGGGCTCGATCCCAGGACCCTGGGACCATGACCTGAGCCGAAGGCAGACGCTTAACGACTGAGCCACCCAGGCGCCCCCAGATGACTAATAATTGACAAGGGGGGAAAAAAAATACCGTTACAGTAGAGAAATACGTCACCATCTCAACCATCGGTCAACAGCATCAGCAATAGTGAGACAAACGGACGCTTGTGCTTCCTGATCCAATGCCCTGAGGACACATCCGTGCTGCTGCTGGCCACCCTGCGCTACCTGACTATGCGGGCCAGGCAGAAAAACCTACACCAGAGACATCCTACAAAACAACCAGCCTGCGCTTGAAATACGCATCCGTGCCCGGAAGGACACACAAAAGCCAGAAACTATTCCAGCTTAAAGGGGTCTGCTTTTGAAGATGGAGGAAGACTCCCCCCCCACTCCGCCCCCAGGCAAGGGGTGCTGGAGGCCCCCAGAAGCTGGAAAGGCAAGGAGGCCATCCTCCCCCAGGGCCTCCAGAAGGAATGCAGCCCTGCTGATACCTCAATTTTAGAACTTGACCTCCAGAGCTGTAAGATAGTAAGATAGTATTCTTTAAGGCCGCATTTGTGGCAATATGTTACAAAGGGGGAGAGGAACATCGGCATGGTGGGCAACCAGAAGCCGAAGTGATGCTAAGTCACGTCGCCTGGTTGATCTCGTAGAATTGCTTTTTAGAGCCATCCTCTAGTCAAAGTATTTTTGAGCATTGACTTTGCCATCCAATGAATTTACTATTTCTCCCACTCTTTCTTCATGTCCTTTATACAGTCTCAGGAGATACCTCAGCAAATGCTTTGTCCTGGATATCTGTTGCATTCCCCCATCTGCCCAGCATCTATCTTCTTTCTCAGTTCCCTGTGGCCACCCACTCTCCCCATGCTCTTCGCGCAGGGAGCCGGGTGGGGCTGATCCTCACTCCTGTCCAGGTATGGCCAATCCAATTTTCCCAACAAACTGGCCTTAAGAGATTGGCTTAAGGGGATGAGCACACGCCCAGTGTTGGTCCATTGAGATCAAATCCTAGGACTTTTGTTGGAAATACTGAGGGACAGAGTCCTTTTTCCCCCTGGGGTTGCTAAGTTGAAAGGACATATGCCTATTGCTCCTGGAGACCACCTTATAAAAAAGACCCTAGTCCTAGAATGAAGCCAGCTTAGAGGGAGACTGTCAAGTAGGGAAGAGGGACTGAGTTCTTTTTTTTTTTTAAGATTTTATTTATTTATTTGAGACAGAGAATGAGATAGAGACAGAGAGCATGAGAGAGGGGAGGGTCAGAGGGAGAAGCAGACTCCCCGCCGAGCGGGGAGCCCGATGCAGGACTCAATCCCGGGACTCCAGGATCATGACCTGAGCCGAAGGCAGTCGCTTAACCAACTGAGCCACCCAGGCGCCCGAGGGACTGAGTTCTGATGACATCCCTGGCACCCCTGGATCCCACTGAGCCAACCCCTGAATTTAGGGGAGTTACATGAGCCAATCTATTCCTTTTTTTTTTTTTTTTTTGAAAAACCAGTTTGAATTGAGTTCTATCACCTATAGCTGAAAGAATCCCAGGCCCAAATACACTATTTCTATCCTATTTCCTGACTTAGCAGTCTATCCATTTCACAACAGAAATATGGTTAACCTAGCAATGACCTGATCTTTGTCATCAATGCTTCCTCTTCTGAGGAGTCACAAATATTTTCTGTGAGTGATCTGTGCTGAATATTTCCCACGCCCAATGTCCACTTCACTGGCCTGTGGTTTGCAAAACTCTCTTCCCCACCCCTTTTTTTTTAACTGGCCATGTATCTGCCTCTCTCCAACCTTCTGGCAAGGTCAGAACACCTTTTCTGAGGCATGGAGAGGCAGGGTTCATAGGAATTTCTTGAGAAATGATACTTTCCCCAAACGGGATCTGACCCTGAATGAGTTCACATTTTCCAGTTTTCCTGAATAGTTATCACCAGAGTCAGGTCAGGGCTGCTTGAGTCCTTGCCTCACGCCGTGTTCACTCACTGAACTAGGTGAGGAGTTCCTCCAGCCACAGATACAATCCTGTTCCCATAAAGTCCAGTAGATGGGCTCATATTCTGCTGGAGGCACAAACAACATGCCCACCTATTTGTAGTATCCACTTAAGGGAATGAAGGCTACCTTACACTCCTTCCCTTCCTGAGTTCACACCAAACTTGAAATACCCTGAGACCCAGCTTCTCATACATCATGGCCACACCGAGCTGGTCAAGCAAATCTGGAATGGACCAGAAGCAGCTATGACATGAAGGTGCTATAACTCTTGTGGATAAAGCTCCCAGCTTTTTCCTTCATGTTGTTTTCTTAAACTTTGCCAAGCAAGTCTTAAGTTCCGTAGGTCATTTCACAGGGACCAGCAGGTGCACTCGGGGCACAGGAAAGATGCTTGGTCATCAATCCATGTCACCTTTTTTCCTAAAAGTCGCAGAACTCCAGATCCTCCCGTGTAACTCCTAGGACTTCAGAGAACCTGCTGACATTCAGCCCTATTTCAGATAGCACTACATTTATTTAGACAGGGCTTTCTTATTTCATACAAGCAACCACCAGAAGGAGCCCTAGAGCTCTGTAATGCAGCTCTGGAAACCTGTTTGGAAATGTAAGCCCACTCTATGGGATCATACTCTCTATTTTGCTGGTGCTAGGGCCAAGTTTGACATAACCCCCAAATTATTGGGAGTGGGTGTCAGTTTATGTTTCTATACTTCCTTCCTCCAGAACTGAAAAAAAGCTTCCATAGGAGACACTCCTATTTTTTTAACCTTTTCTTTTCTTTTTTTAAATTTTATTTTATTTTATTTTTTTATTTCTTTTTTTAAAGATTTTATTTATTTATTTGAGCGAGAGAGAATGAGAGACAGAGAGCATGAGAGGGAGAAGCAGACTCCCCGCCGAGCAGGGAGCCCGATGCGGGACTCCATCCTGGGACTCCAGGATCATGACCTGAGCCGAAGGCAGTCGCTTAACCAACTGAGCCACCCAGGCGCCCCTCTTTTTTTAAATTTTAGAGGTGTGGAGGAAGCCTGAAAGTTGTTTACTGCATTTGCTGAAAAGATGCAGACTAGCCTAGAACTTTCGGTGCAGGCGAGGTGGGATCTATCAGCTTTTTAAGATTCCCCCTTTCAAAAAATAAATTGCCATTCTATACTATGCTTCCTTACCTGACTTATTTTGAAAGGGTGTTGTTAACGTCAAGACTCCACCCTATCCCTGGAATAGGAGGGCAGGAAATGGCAAATGGCATCTTTGTGTTAAAGGTGGAGACACTCAGGGCCCGGAAGCAACCAGAACCGGCCTTACTCCCCGGCTCCCGGCCAGGGCTGCCCCAGGTCTCCCGACCCAAATCACCAAATACCCCTGTCCTGTGCTCGCAGAACCGCCCATCCCACCCAACTGTTCCCCGGGGAAACCCTAGTTCTGAGCAGATCCAGGAGACCGGGTTCCACGGCTTTCCGTAACAGCGATCCACCGGAGGTGTCCGAGCGTGCTCCCGGGGACGGTGGGACCAGACTTCCCGCGCAGGGACAGTCCGGGTACCGAGAGATCCGCGACGGGGGCGGGAACCCTGACATCCAGGCCACGAGCAGCCGCCCCGCCCCGGCCCGTCACGTGACCCGCGCTCGGTCCACCCCCGTGGGGAGGGGCGGGGCCACTCTCGCGCTTGCGCAGGCGGCGCCGGCGGGGGGGCGGGCACGGCCTCCTGACTGACAGCTCGCGCAGCTGGCGCCTCGGAAGGACCCGGCTCTCAGGCCCGCGCAGTGGCCGCAGCGCCGAGCCGGGAAGCAGCCGTTCGCTCCCAGGTCCGACCCGTCGGCCGGTGCCCGCCGCGGTGAGAGAGGCTCCCGCCGGCGCCCCGGAGGGGGAAAACGCGTCACTTGTCCGGGCGGCGCGGGGCTCTCCGAGGGCCGGCGGGTGAGGGGCCGTGGGTGGAGGGAGGGGGCCGTGGGATGACGCGGGGTCGGGTTGGGGGTCGGGGCCTCGGGGGCTTTTGCAGGGTCCGCGCGAGCTGGGGGTGCGGAGGTGGAAGGGAAGCCGAGAGCCCGCGGTGTGGGGGGCAGTGCAATACCTGGGGGGGCGATGGACGAGGGGTCCCCACCCCCTGGTGGCAGATGGTGTCGCCAGGTGGCTTTGGGGTGGAGTCGACTCCTCGGTCTTGGGGGAGGAAGAACCCCCAGACTCCTGGAAGGGCATGCTGGGGAGGGGGTGCCTGGAACCAGGATGGGAAAGACATTTGCCAAGTCGTGCTGTGTGTTCAGGTGCAAGTTTGCTGCCTCTCTGCTCGGAGTGGCAGACGGGTGGGGTATGGGGTGAGGGAGAAAGGGCTCTGGACTGGGGGCCGCCCGTCAACTCCACCCGTGCCTTCCCAGGGGCCCCCCATCCTCCGGACGGGTCAGTAAGCAAAGAGGTTTGCAGAGGGCACAGCTTCACGGGCGCCCTGTTAGCAGCTGGTTTAGAACAGCTGGCTCAGGGCAGACGGAACCAGTGGCCCCGGGGGAATCGGATAGGACAGGAGGCGGTCTTCCTGGAGCTGGGTGCCTTTTCCCGCCGGTACCGGGTTTGTGCTTCCCTAGGTTGCACCTTGGTTGGATCTCAGAGAACGACTTTGCAGTGGGCACTAGCCATGGCCAGCTCGTCTAACTCTGTGGTTAAGTGTGGGGCAAGGGTGCCGACCTGCAGACTGAGCAGGAACTTGCCTCTGAGCTGGCCCAGGTGAGGCGCCCTGATGTGGAGGTTGTCCCTGCGGTGAGTCAGTGGTGGAGGCACACAGACAGCTGTCAGGACCAGGCTGCCGCCCAGGCCATTGTCACCTAATGCTACTGTTTCAGAGTCATTTCATGAGAGGGACCCCCTCTGGGAACCTAAACCAGGGCAGCCAAGATATCGAACAGGGAATTGAGCAAAGAAAAAAAGAATGATTTTGACTGGTTACGCAGGAGCGCTCCTCCTTGGTCTTTTACATCTTCCCATTTGGAAGTTTATGTTTTCTCTTTGTTCAGAGTCTCTCCCTTCCACTGTCACTTTTTTAATGTTGTTCAGAAATAGGATTGCTCGGGGCGCCTGGGATGACAGTTGGTTAGGCGACTGCCTTCGGCTCAGGTCATGATCCTGGAGTCCTGGGATCAAGTCTCACATCGGGCTCCCTGCTCGGCGGGGAGTCTGCTTCTCCCTCTGACCCTCCCCCCTCTCATGTACTCTGTCTCTCTCTCATTCTCGCTCTTTCACATAAATAAATAAATAAATCTTTAAAAAAAAAAAGAAATAGGATTGCTCACGCATCTGAAGCACAGGGCGAAAGGCTTTTGAGATCAGCTCACAATGAAAAAATTGACTCATGAGATTTTCTTTTTCCCTAAAAGAAATGAAGATGACTGAGGACACACAGATAGGCGCTCTTAGTGATTACAGATTATCTCTAGCCTCTTGTATGGTTCTGGGATACATTCCCTTTTTTTTTTTTTTTTGTAGTGTGTGTCTTTTGTATGGCAGTGTCAGTTAACGTGAAGGTGGTTTGTGTTATTTGAGAATGTGACGACTAAAGGCAGTGAAAAGCTACTACTGGGTGACATTAGTAAGCCAGAAACCTTTAATTTGCTACAGAATTCCAGAGAGTAGAGAATAGTGATTCTCTTTGGATGACAGTTAATTTTGGTTCTTCAGGGGTAAATTGCCTTATGGTACCCCAAGAGAGGACATCTTTTAGGACAATCCCAAGAAAGGTTTAGAATGGAATGAGTCATGCTATACGCTTCTCTCTCGCTCGCTTGCTAGCCCACTCGCTGCCTCGTCCCTCAAAAAAAGAAAATAATCAGGTTAAAAGAAACATCAAAACAACCTGGGAAGATTAAAAAAAAGATCATGAAAATTCAACCGGCAGCAGGAAAAATACACAAAGGGAGGAGTAAAATCCTGTTGCTCATAATAACCCCTCACTTTTACGTGACAGAGTAATTTACAAAGGGCTTGTGCACAAAATCTCAATTTAGCTTCACCATAAACTTGGAGTGATAGGTGGTGTTAACACTCCCATGTCACAGATGAGAGAACTGAGGCTAAGCGAGTGCCCGGAGTCACTTAGGTCCTAGGGAGCGAAGCAAAAGGATAAACCTAGCCATCTGGTGTCAGCCGGATGCAATAGTCTGTCATCAGCCTATGGAATGGGATATGGGAAGGATAGGACAGATTACAGCGCATCCGAGGACGCCAGCATCCGCGGGCAAAGCATCCTTCTCTCCCACCACTTGCCTCTTCACTAAGTCCGCTCAGCTCCCTGGTGCAGCTCCAACTTCACCACTTCCTCCACCCAAGCCTGAGAGAGTCTACGTCTACTCAGATTTGTTTATCCGTCTTGGAGAAATCTAGTAGGAAGTATGCTTGCAAGGAGCCTCTTGCTCAATTGCTTGGTGTTTCCAAATAGTCTAGGTGTCTTCAGCTGTGATGCAAGAGAACAAAGCAATTCTAGGGAAACTTGCCCTTAGAGTTTTCCTTGTCCTCCTCCCGGAAGAAAAGTGTAGTGGTTGTGAAACGTGGGGAGCTGCCCCAGTAGTTTTGTTTATTGGATGCAGCATTCTATAACCTGGCATTGTCCGGGTTATGGTGACACCTTTTTTTTTTTTTTTTTTTTTTAACCAGGTCACAGCTGTTCTCATTAGAGAAGAACACGCTTTAATCCCACTTTCTAGATCTGGACATCTAGATCTTGAAAAGGACTTCGGGGGAGGTTATCTGAGATATGTTTCAGTGGGCAGTGGTACAAAACAGAATTAAAATCCAAGACAATTTTAGGGCACAGCAATAGATGTATAGATCTGAATGAGAAAGATGACAGTTCCAATATACAACTCCATGCTTAGAGTATTGTGTTCTTTTCTGGACATCACATTTAAAAAGGACATAGGAAAAAAAATCAAGAATATTCATTGGAAATTGCTACAGGGATGAGTGAATTATAGCTGGTAAGCCTGAGAATCTGGGGAGCCATGGTCACAGAAGGTTCAGGGCTGTCATTAATAAACTTGTTCTATAATGGCCCAAGAACCAAAGGACGCAAGTTATAGTTAGGAAGATTTTGATTTAGTTTTGTTTTTGTTTTTTTTTAAAGATTTTTACTTATTCATTTGCAAGACAAAGAGCAAGAGAGAGAGCACAAGCAGGGGAAGGGGCGAAAGGAGAGGGAGAGGCAGACTCCTTGCTGAGCAGGGAGCCTGATGCAGGGCTCAATCCCAGGACCCTAGGATTATGACCCAAGCCAAAGGCAGATGCTTAATCAACTGAGCCACCCAGGCACCCCAGGGAGATTTTAGTTTTAAGAACGTTATCATGCCAGTAATCTTTTAAAAACTATGGGTTGACTCATACCTCTCCCCAGGGGCTTCCCAATACTCTGGGGATTGAAATCAGACTTCTCACTGTGTTCTACTTGGGATGCTAGATGAGTGCTAGCTGCCCTTTCTTGTTTCTGCAGCTTCATGAGTTACCACTCTCTTATAAAAAGCCCACCTTCTTCTTGTGCCTTGAGTACATCCAGTTCACTCTGCCTCAGGGCCTTTGCATTGGCTTTTCATTTTGCCAGATTTTCCGTTGGCTGGCTCCCTGTCATTCAAGTGAGTGCTCTAAGGTCACATCCTTAGAACTTTCCTGACAACTAAAATAGCTTCTTCCTGGTCCCCAACCCATCCACTTTATTATATTATAGTGTTTTATTTCCTTCATAACAATATCAGAAATGATCTTCTTTGAGGAAGCTTTTATTGTCTGCTGCCCATTTACCACTGTATCAGCAGTACCCCCAAAGAGTGCCTGGCATATAGTTTCTCAATAAATATTTGTTGAATGAATGATTTTAATGACAGTCAGACCTTTTCAGAGATGGGAGGGATAGCTGCCTTCGTAGCTACCCAGTTAGTTTTCTTGTACTGGGGACAGTCAGACATCGGCTGACTAGCCGGCCATTGAGCAAGACAATTCAAGCTCTAGATAGATAGGAAAGCAGATAACGTACTGTACTTCTTTCCCGGGGCTGCTGTAACAAAGTACCACAACCAGGGTGGCTTAAACAACATCTGTTTATTCTCCCACTGTTTTAGAGACCAGGAGTCCAAAGTCAAGGTGCCGGCAGGGTTGATTCCTTCTTGGAGGTTCAGAGGGAGAACTGGTTCATGCCTCTCTCCCAGCCTCTGGTGGTCTCCAGCAACCCTCGTATTCCTTGGCTTGAAGCCTGCATCACTCCAGTCTCTGCCTCTATGGTCACATGGCCTCCCTCTCCCTTTGCGTGTGTGTGTGGGGGGGGGTCTGTTTCTTTTCTTATGTAAGGACGCCATCAAGTTGGTCATATTCCATTATGACTTTATTGTAACGTAACTAATTACATCTACAAAGGCCCTGTTTCCAAATAGGGTCACGTTCACAGATTCTGGGGGTTAGGACTTCAACATATCTTTTTAGGGGACACAGTTCAATGCATAACACCTTCTAACTTCAAGATCCAGTGACATTTTAAGATTTTTAATTTATTTGACAGAGAGAGCAAGAGAGCACAAGTAGGGGGAGCAGCAGAGGGAGAGGGAGAAGCAGGCTTCCTACTGAGCAGGGAGCCCGATGTGGGGCTCGATCCCACACCCTGTGATCATGACCTGAGCCGAAGGCAGTCGCTTAACTGACTGAGCCACCCAGGCACCCGGATCCAGTGACATTTTAAAGGGAAAGACTGGAAGGAGGTGCTGCATTCTCTTTAGGGATAATGACGTGGATTTGGGTATTTTTACATGAAGCATTGTGCTCTTTACAACTTGCAAGCTAAGTGGTGATCTGCATGTGCCAAAGTGAGGAGGC